GCCAGCAGGCGCTGTCTGTTCGCGGCCTGTGCGGGCCGCTCGTCCTCCTCGCCCTTCTTTCGTCCTCCCGTCCCTCCCCTCCACCATGGCCTCCTCGGCACTTCTTTCTCCATCCGCCTTGCCCTAGGTCGGAGGCGCGACCCCTGCACGCTCGGCACCAGAGCTGTATCGAGACGGCGATTGCAAAGGAACATAAGAAGGGAAACGCGATTCATACTGTGTGGGGGGAGGACGACCCCGGCTAGTCGCCGACCACACCCACAAAGAACCCTGCACAAAGATCGCAAGGGCGGGGGCCTGTTCCTTCTTACCCATCTCACAGTAGAGAGGTGTCCGTTTTTATTTATTTATTTATTTACTGTGTGGGGGGGAGAGCGCTGCCAGCGCTGGACAGAGGGTGCTTGGCCGGATGCAATCATGCATCGTGCGCCGCGTCTTGCATATTTGTTCTCAATAGCGAGCAGAGGTCTCGATGCGGAACGAAGCGTCGTTGCGGTGGAGCGTGCTGTCCTCGGCGTGCTCGATGCGCAGATGGAAGCCGCGGTGGGAGATGTAGCGGCTCGGAAAGTTGACCGACTCGTAGGAGACGAAGCCCGGCTCCCCCGTCAGCGCTGGCCTGGGGCGGAAGGTGGCATCGAGGGCGAAGGGGCCGCCATGGCTGCTGCTGTGGCAGCGCATGGCGTAGCCCGCATGGCGCAGGTAGCGGCCGGGCCGCGCGGCGTCCTCGAAAGAGACGGTGCCCTTTTCGCCCGTTAGCCCAGGCACGACTCGGAAGGCGGAGCCTGCACCCTCTTCAATCTTGACCGTCTCGTCACTGACGATCTTCCACTTGCGCGCAGAGTAGTTTTGACTGACCCAGACGGAGGCGTGGCCCTGCACCATGGAGAAGGCGGCGGCGTGGCGCGCGCTCTCGTACGTGAGATCCTCGATGTCGCCCTCGAAGCGACTCGCCATGTCGCCGTTGGCGACGCCGTCGGAGACTCGGTGGCCGACTGGGATGCGGGAGTACACGCACAAGTCAGGGTGGTCGGACACCGCGTTGAGCCCCGCGCCGTCAACAGCGCCGTCGAGCAGGACTTGGTAGACGCCCAGCGCGGCGTTGAAGCGGAGCGCCACGTCGTGCCAATCGCCATCGTTGACCTGCGTGCTGCCCGTGATGGAGCCGACCCAGCCGATGTCGAAGCACACGCGGCCGCCGCGCAGGAAGAGCAGCTTGGCCTGGCCAGCCCCGCCGCCGTTGCGCCACCGCCCGTCAGGGAAGGCCTTGGCCAGGATGGTGCCGGACGCCTGCGTGGTGCGCACGCGCGCGGACAGCACGAACGGAACCGCGCCGGACAGGTCCCACGAGGAGGTGCTCGCCGCCAGCGTGGTGTCCTTTTGGCCGACAGCCGCGGCCTTGAAGAGCGCGGCATAGCAAGCAGCGGCCTTGGCGACGAATCGCTCGCCCTTCAACTCGTCGAACAGGCTGAGCACCGCGGCGGCCTTGTCCACGACGGCGGGCAGCGGTTCTGGGGCGAGGCCGAGGGCGAGCCGGACCTGCTCGATGCGGGCTGCTAGCGAGTCCGCCTCGAAGCCTGAAGCGGGTTCTGCAGAGACGACGCCGACGACCGAGTCCGCCTCGAAGCCTGAAGCGGGTTTTGCAGCGACGCCGACTATGACGAACGCCTCTGCGTCTGCGTCGGCCATCGAGTCGAAGAGACCTGCGTCTGCGTCGGCCATCGAGTCGAAGAGACGGGACGGACGGAGAGACTTGCGTGGCCAGGAAGAGTTTAAACAAAAGAACTCTCTCTCACAGCAGACAGGCTCGACACAGGTGCGAACTGGCGCGTGCTAGTACTATCACCGGCACACCAGGAAGAGAGACTTGCGTCCCGATTTAAGAATTGTACCGCTTCACACCGTATCGCCGACACCAGGCTCGAGCCTCGACCCCCAGCAGAGAAATAATTTTACAACAAAGCTCCCTCGCACAACACAACACTGGGCACGGGACTGGCGTGAAAGAGATAGCAGATACTTTTTTGGGTCTTGTTATAACTTATACAGATCTATTTCGGGTCTTGTGTAGATCAGAGACCTCCGAGATCCAAAGAGCAAAGTGCTTGTGTAGATCCATTGCGTCTTGTGCTCGGGCGTCGGGGCGCGGACCAAGGGGAACACCGCCTCGGCCGCAGCCCCAATGCAGCGCCGCGCCCTTAGGAGGCCGCAATGGGCACGTTCAGGCGCTGCCATGTCCCCGACCTCGTCTCCTACACAAAGCCCGCAAGCCCCAGCCCGCCCGCCCCGGCGGCGCCGCCCGCACCGCGCGGGCCGCCGCCGCCACCCAGCCGGGCGCTCAGGCCGGCGAGGGTGTGCTCGATGTGCGCCCTCCGTGCGCTGGCGGCATGCACGGACGCTGCCAGCGCAGGGGCGGCACGGTGCGACTCGGGCGACACGGACGCGGGGAACGCGGGTGGCTGCGGCGGCGGCTGTGGCGGCGGTGGGAGAGAGGCCGGCGAGAGGTGCGCCGCGGCTGCGGACGCCTCTGCCGGCCCCGCCCCCGCCGGCCCCGCGCCCGCGGCAGCCTGGCCCGTGTCGCCTTCGTGGCGCGCCATAGCCTCCCGCTCGCGCAATAGCCGCTCCGACTCGCGCTCGATGGCCTCTTTGTCCTGCTGCAGCGTCGCCATCAGGCCAGTCACCGCCGCAATCTCCTTGGCGGCGGCGGCGCGCTCCAGCTGCGAGCTCCTGATCTGCAGCTCGGCCGCCTGGCGATGAAAACAACAAGAACGATAGTGATAATGATGATGATGAGGTAAAGGCAGGGGGCAGCTTAGCCGCCTGGCGCCGCTGCTCGAGTTGTGCTCCCTGCAGGGTGGCCTGCTGCACCGTGCGCTCCTAATGAAATTGATCACAACCGTGATGGATCCACCACTAACTCAGAAAGCCTTGCTGCGCCGACCGCGCCTTCTCCGATGCGAGCTCCTCCAGCGAGCTGAAGATGGCCTCGCGGTGGCGCGACACCTCGCCGCGGTGCTCCACCTAAGCGCGAGACTCGCCGAGAGTTCCCCGAGATTCGCCGAGATTGGCGACCCCTCGCCGCGGTGCCACACCAGCGCGCGAGAGAGCGCCGACCGCTCGTCGCGGCACAGCCCGCGCTCCTGCGCGAAGAGCTTGCGCTCCGCCTGCAGCGTGGCGACGGCGCCCGCCATCTCCGCCACGACGCGCTGCTGCAGCGCGTCGATCTCGACGGCGCGCTGCGCTAGCTGGGAGCGCAGCTCGTTGTGCTCAGCCTGCATGGCCTCCCACTCTGTCCGGCCGCTCCGCCACGCCGCCGCCATCCGCTGCTGCTCGGCGTCGAGCTCGCTCCGCATCGCAGCGACCAGCGCCTCGCGCTCCGCCCACAGCTTCTCGCGCTGCGCCTGCACCTCGTTGAGCGCCCCCTCCTTCTCGAGCATGGCCGCCTCGCCCTTGAGCACCGTCTTCCACAGGTCCTGCTCCATCTTCTCGCGCAGCACGACGAGCCCCTCCGCCGTTCTTCCCACGTCGGTCGCCAGCTTGGAGAGTGCGCCGCCCTGCTGCTGCAGCACGCCGTACGCGGCGCACTGCTCGCGGTGCAGCGCCTCCAGCCGCTTGACCTGCTCCGCGTGCTGCCGGTCCTTGGCTGAGAGCGTCGCCTCCGTCACCTGCCGCAGCTGCGCCAGCTCCACCTCGTGCACTCGCCTATCAATCCAACGACGAGGAATGAGCGCGGAGCTAATCGGCGCCAGCTCCGCCTCGTGCACTCGCCGGTCGGCTGCGGTCGCCTCCGCAGTCTCGCGCGCCGCGGCGGCCAGCCGTTGCTCGAGCAGAGCCTCGTGGTGTGCCACCTCCTGCTCCGCCTGCTTGCGGGCCGCCTCGAGCGCCTCGCCGTGCGTGCGGTCGCGCGCCTGCGCACAGAAGGGCTGTGGACTCCAGGAGCAGAATGCCGTGGGCCGCTCCCCTCCCCGTCGGGCCGCGCGCCGCCAGCGCCGACTCGAGCAGCGCGCGCGCCTGCGCCATCTCCTGCCTTGCGCGCTCCTGCAGGACGGCTCGGGGAGGGGTCCGACTAGGGGAGCAGCCCGTGGCGTCGCGGAAGTGTCTCTGAAGAGTCTTCTCTGAAGTGTCTTCGCAATGTCTCGGGCAGCGTCTCGGGAGTGTCTCTTCTCCTGCTCGAACGAGACCCGACGCTCCGCCGCTGCCTCGCGCTCCGCAGCGACCTTGTCGGCGAGGGCCGCCGCCGCCGCCGCCTCCGCCTCGTGCCGACCCTGGATCGAAGCGAGCGACCCCTCCGCCTGCCGCGAGATTGACCGAGATTGACCGAGATCACCCCGAGATCTGGATCGACGACAGCGGCCCCTCCGCCTGACGCGCGCGAGAGAGCGCCTCCGCCTGCGCCAGCTGCAGCGCGGCCGCGTGCTGCGTCTCAAGCGCCTTGCGCTGCGCGTCGAGAGCGGCCGCGTGCTGCTCGCCAGCCGCCGCCAGCGCCTGCTCGTGCCTCGCCCGCGCCTCCTCCTCGCGCCGCCCCGCGCGCGCCCTCTCCTCCGCCAGCTCCTCGCGCAGCGCAGCTTGCTGCTTGGCCGCCTCGGCGAGCAGGGCAGACAGCGCGCCCTCCCCCTCCCCCTCCCCCTCCCTCGCCGCCGCATGCTGGCCACGGTCTCGGCCAAGTGCAGCCGCCCCGCCGTGATCTCGCGCCCGACCGCCGCGCCCTTGAACAACCTCTTCCCAATCCCTCGGCCCGCCGAGACCGCCGCCGCCGGCTCCCGCCGCACCGCCAGGCTCTGCCGCCAGAACCGGCGGGCCCGCGAGCCAGCCGGGCACAGACGCGGGCACAGCCGTAGGCGTCGCCACCGCCGCCGCCACCGCCGCCGCCGCCGCCGGTGCCGGTGTCGCCGCCGGCAATAGTGCAGGCGCCGCCGCCGTCTGCGCAGGCGCGTCGTTCGCCGCTCGCCTAGAGAGAGGTTGCGAGGCGGTCCCAGGGCGCCTCCTGGCCGCCGGCAGCCGCTTCATGTCGCCGCTCGCCTCGACGCCTCCCTCTTGGCACGCCGCTCGACCGCCATCTTCTCTTTCGCCTCCTCGCGCTGCGCCGCCTCGACGCGGCGCGCCTCGTTTGCCCGCGCCGCCAGCGGGCCGCGCGGAGCGGATAGCGAGCCGTCCGAGTCGTCGAAATCATCCACGTACACCTCCTCCTCCTCCTCCTCCGCCTCCTTCGGCCTCTCCACCGCCTCCTCGATAAGTGCGCTCCCGCCGGCTGTCCCGCCACGGCCGACGCTTTCGGCCAGGAAAGGGCTCAGCGGCGCTGGTGGCGCTGGCGCGACCCGAGCTGGCGCATCGGGTGGCAGCGCCGGCTCAAAGTGGCTGCCGAGGTGAAGGCCGCTGGTCGACAGGTCGGCCGTGTCGGAGAGGTGGCCCGAGAGGTCGTCTCCTCCGACGCCCTGTGGGCGCTCCACCACCTCGCCCGACAGCTCCAGCTGGCTCAGGCTGGCTGACAGGTCCACGGTCTCCTCGGCGGAGTCAGAGAGCCCCGAGAGGACCTCGGCCGTTGACATTCAGGGTTCCGGCTCCTATAGCCGGATAGGGGGTCTCCCTCACTGGCTGGCCCCTCCCAGATAGGTAGATCTAGGTAGGTTGGTCTTGTTTCACCCAAAAGGGCACTGCAATAGGTAGGTACCGGCTATTTTCATCTTTTTTCACGTCACTGCGCGGCCTGGGGATAGGTAGGTAGGTAGGGCGTTTTGGCGCGAGTCGGTGGCGACAGACCCCCTATCCGGCTAGGAGCCGGAACCCTGGCTGGAAACAGAGCAAAAAAAACTAATTCATTATGTACAAGCAAAAGTATTGAAACATTAGAGCTAATCGGGCTGCCCCTGAAGCTGCGTTCCTTTGGAAAGGGAACTTGGCAATCTTACCTTATATTTCCCCGCGGCCGGTTTTCCGTTTCGGGCGACGGCACACTCACCGAGCTCTCCGGCGGGGAATCATGTCGGCGAAGGCGGGCTCTGGCGTCTCGGTGATGCGCTCCGATCTCGACGCGTCGACCTCGACGGAGGTGGACGCGCACGAGGCGCAGTGGCGGGCCGGCGTCAACCGCCAAGCGCGTCCAGACGCCGCTTCGCAAAGACGGGCGGCGTCATTGGCTGCTGCAGCCAAGCGGCGGCGGATAAGGACATGAACAACATACCTGCGCAAGCCGTCGCCCGGGCGGCCGCAGGCGGTGCCATCTCAACCCACTCTCGGCACCGCTGCACGTGCGTGCTCCCTCTCCCACCCAACTCGGCTCCACTCTCGTCCACCCGCGCCCACCCCATCATCTGCTCTCAGGCTGATTGCGGCGTGTGTTGCGCAATGCCGAGCCACCAGACGCTGGCCAGAGCATGATTGTGATGCCTCTGTCTGGGCCGGGGGGGCGTTCGACAGCGCGCGAGGCTGCCTCCCTGCCCTTTGGGACGCTTGGGCCCCCTGTTGAGTTGCATCCAGTACAAAGTACCAGTGGGGGGGGGGGCTTGGGCCCCCCCCCCCCCCCCCCGGGCAGAATGGTAAACTCGTGTCTACTCACCTCGTCGGCTCCATCGGCTGCCTCTCCTCGTGCGCCGGCTGCCTCTCCATCCAACCGCTTCTGCGTCCCCTTCTCTGCCCGGTGCTCGCGATGTCGCTCTGCCGAGAGGGTCATCGCCGGCGTAGGCGGAGCGGCGGGCCCTTCGTTACAGAGACAACAAAGACATTTCACCCCTCGGGCTGTTGTTGCAGACAGAAAAACAAATTTGGCGCGCGTGCGCGCAAGGTATGCTAGTGCGGTGAAAAGAAAGTGGCTACGCGTGGCGCGCTTACGCGATGTGGTTCAGTGCCGGGAAGCTGAGTCTCTTGCTGCTCCTCACATCGGCACTTGGGCTCGAATCAGCGCTTGAGAGCACAGATAGTGGCGCGTCGAATGGCGGGGCGGTGCCCGATAGGCTCTGGCAGATTGCGCGAGGCGACGCAGCAGGAGTGCTGGCATGGCTCGACGGTGGCGGGCAGGTCAATGCATGCCACAGGAGTGGCGACACAGTTCTGATGCTTGCCGCTTCCAACGGCCGCGAGGTTGTGGTCGACGCTCTGCTGCGACGCGGTGCAGAGGTCAATTTGCGGAACAGTGACTTCCGGAAAAGTGACTTCGGAAGCACTGCGCTCATTCGCGCCGCCGCTGTGTACACCGCCACCGCAGGCCACGAGCGGGTGGTCGAGTTGCTGCTTCAACATAGCGCTGAGGTCAACCTGCGGGACGACGACGGCTGGACCGCGTTGATGTGGGCCGCCGGCAGAGGTCACGCGCGTGTGGCCGACCTGCTGTTGCAGCACGGCGCGGAGGTCAACCGGCCGGATGTCATAGATTGAGTAGTATTTTTAAAGACCAACAAGAACACGACTCTCACAGTGATTTGGGCTCGGCAGCTTGTTAGCCCTCAGCCGAAGCTGGGGCCGGGGGGGGGTGCCTGAGTCAGGCAGACAGCACAGACAAGAGGAGAGAGAGGAGAGAGAGAGAGAGAGAGAGGAGAGAGGAGAGGGTGAGGGTGTGAACACACGTGAGGAGTGGGGGAGGGTGTCTGTGGTGGGCTGTAGTCCTACTACGTGGTTACAACCACGCGCCCCTCAGGAGCTTAAGGTAGAGCTGAGCGTCCAAGACGCCTCGGTGCCACCCACCGGATGAGACCATCCGGATCAATCGAGCCCGCCTCCGGCGGGCCGTCCCCGCGATGGCCCACGGTCCTCCGTCGCCTGGTTGAACCCCCTGCCTCCCGGTTGACCCCCACTCCTCGTAGTCCATCATGAAATAAACTCAAAGATCCACCACGCCTCCAGCCTCCACCTCCACCCGCGAGCCGCCACCGCTGCCGCCCGCGACGCCGCCCGCCGCGTCAGATAGCCGCGACGCGCGCACCGAGTCGATTCGGAGAGCCGCGCCGCACCAGCAGGAGCATCTCCACCAGCAGCAGCAGCAGCAGCAGCAGCACCACCACCGCCCGAGAGAGAAGCGCACCTGCCCGACGCCGCCCGCCGCGTCAGACGCTCCGGCGACGCGCGCGTCGAGCCCAGTCGCAGAGCCGCGCCGCGCCAGCAGCAGCATCTGCACCAGCAGCAGCAGCACCACCACCACCAGCAGCAACAGAGACAGGCAGTGCAGGCGCAGAAGCGCTCGCAGAGCGGCGCGCAGCGCCGCGCACGCCACGCTGCGGACCGTCGGACGAGCGCACCGTACGTCGGCGGCGAGCCGCGTCGCCAGCCGTCTCGCGAGAGAGCGGCGGCACACACACACACACACACACACAGGTAGGTAGGTAGGTAGTAAGGTGAAGAACAGCCAGGCTCGGACTGGACACCAACGCGGTATGACACACACACCGTGTCACCTGAAATTCTTTTCTTTTTAGGGCTGTTGTGGCCGCGTAGACGACGCGACGGCATGGCAAAGGCCGGCGAGGCCGCCAAGGCGCGCGCTGAGAAGCGCTCCAACGTCAAGCAGAAGAAGAAGTTCGAGAACAAGAACAGCATCGGCAAGACGCGCCGCAAGGTTGGCTCCGAGGCGCGGTACATGACCCGCACCGCGGCCGTCAAGAAGCTGCAGGCGCGGGCAGCCCGGCCGCCTCTGGGAGCGGGTGGGGATGACGCGCTGCCACGGCCGTCTAGCGGTGCGGGCAGCGGCATTTTTCGTGTTTCGCCAACGGCGGGATGGGAGCGGAGGGCTGCGGCGACGGTCGGCGGGAGGCGCAAATGGCAGCTCAGCGGCGGCGGCCTGACTGCGCTCACGCCGTTCGCGCGCAGGTGACGCTCAAGGACTTCCGGCGGCTCTGCATCCTCAAGGGCATCTACCCGCGCGAGCCAAAGAAGAAG